CTGTTGTTGCGCAAGGTCCAGTGGTGTTGTCAGCTGATGTCTTTGCGAGGAGTGAAGAAAAAGAGTGTCAGAAGGAAAGAGGATTGCGTGAGAAGAGAAGAAGCCGGCCCTCAACTCCTGTTCTCCGTCGCTTCTCGTAACATGCATGCATGCATATGTTGAGGCTCGTGTTTCTTGTCCGGTGTTCTCTATGTCACTGTATGTTTTGTGTGGGGGATGCCGTCAGTTGCCATTTTATTTTTATTTTTATTTTTTGTTAATTGACTTTTTTTTCCCCCTTTTTTTGTTGTGTTTGTTTGGTTTGGATTGTGAAGGAAACGATGTGGGGTTTTGACTCACCAGTGGAGAGGGGGATTGTCCTGCGGGCAAAAGATAGCGACAAGTGCAAGATATCGCCGCTACTCGCCGAAAACATTCATGACTTGGAGGCTCTCAAGGAGGAGTTTGCTCCTTATCCAAATGGCATGACGATGGACACTCTGTTCAATGTGTTGTTACGTCACATTGGGAAGAAGCGTGGGGATTCTGATTGTTTTGGCTTATCGCAACGTAATTGGTTGGCCTCGCGAGGTGAAACGCCTGCGTCACCCCAAATGAGTCCGCGCGGCATAGTGAAGGGAACTGTGCCGAAACAACCTCAAAAAACTTTGATGTTGTCTGCAGGTAGACCCAATAACTCATTTTCTTCGATGCCGCAAAAGGATGCGCTGGGTGCGCTCAGGGACGGTCTTTACATGTCCCCGTGGAAGATGGGTGCGTCGCATCAACATATTTCGGGTTCGTGGACGGATATAAATGCATTTGAGAATTTATTTAACAGGCTTGATAGCGACAGCGATGGGCTTGTCTCCTGGGACGATATCATGCAGCTGGCTGTGGAGGAGGCTACGCAAAGTATTACCATCATCACAGAAGAAATGCGTTCATACTCTCTTTCCCGCATTTCATCTCAGGAGAAGCTCGTTCGGCTGGTCCATACACTTCCAGACCACAAGTCCGTGTTTGCCATCGCATCGCGGGCAGACCCGCTTTTATTGGTGAGCAAGGAGGACTTTAGTGAGGTGAAGCGGTTTAGTTTCAAGGATTTTGACAACAATCACCCTCAACTTATTGAATATTTACCGGTTCCAGATGTTTTGCTTGCCTATTCAGTAAATGACAAGACGTTGCGTGGTTGGTGGAATGCCGTTTCGGTGCATCGTATGGGAACGCTTTCCCCATTGTATTTGGGAGATACAATTCGAAGGATTCGTACGCAGCCATGGAAATTCCCGTACTCCTTTTTTACATGCAGCAGCAATGGGAAAATTGTGCATTGGCAGCTGCCCAAGCAACGGTCATTACTGGAAATATCACGGGTACACGCGTATGACGTACTCCATAAGCCTGACACCGGCGGCATCACGGACTTTACGGTTACGGATGAGTGGATTTTTTCTACAGGGTTTGATTGCCGTCTCTTTGCTACAAACATTGAAACTGGTCGTCCCATTCTTGTTGGACTTCCCCATGACACGATTAAGTTTCTAGAGTACAATCGAAATTGCGACTGTCTGCCAAGCGTGTCTTATTCAAATCGTGTTTTACTCTGGGATGTGCGATCCTCATCAGCGACTCCCGGGGCTACCTTCAGAGACGAGGGAGCAAGGCCACACACAGCAGATGTAATTGGACTTTGCAATGCACCGGGTCTGCCACAAATAATAACCTGCGATAGTATGGGGATGATGAAAGTATGGGACTTACGTGCACTTCGGTGCTCTCAGACATTATATGCCGACGGAACGGCTATGGAGGATATGGATGTAGATTATATGTATAGCGATCAGGCAATTAACAGAAGCGATCGGTCTTTTTTGTTTCAAGCCTTGCGCAAAGGTAATTCTAAATGCATTCGTTCCATTGGGTTTTTTCCGAATACGCAGGAAGTTGTGTGTAGCTCACCTGAAGCCATTTACTGTCTTCGATACAATCATCGCCGCGATGGTCACACCGCTGACGTTGAGGTTGTGCACGCCGCTTTTTATGATCCATACCACAGCACGATTTTTCTTCAGGGATCGGCGCGTACATCTGTTTGGGACGCCGTAGATGGCTTTCGGAGACGTTTATTTGATCGTTCGTTTCATATAAAAGTACCTTATTGGCAGCAAGAAGTTATTGCTGTCTGCCTGGACTATCCACGGAACCGTCTCTTCTTTGCCATAGCGGGGGGTACGGTAGAAGTTCGCTCGTCTAAAAATTTTGTTCTGTTGGAAACCTTTGCAATGCATGAGGTCAATGCACAGGAAATGCTCTTTAGTATGAAACACAAAATGCTTGTGAGTATTTCCAACAATGGTTTTCTTACCCTTCTTCATGAAGAGGATTCGGGGCATTCTATTTCTAATATTGGGCTCTCTAGCCTTCCATTGCGTGCCCTGTCATTGAGTGATGAAGCGGGCCTAATTGCGTGTTGCGATGAACATACTCTCTTTTTTGTTGATTACAAGCAGACAAAATTGACCTTTTTTTCGGTTAAATTGAATGTCCCTGTGCGCACAACGGCTATGCTCGGCACATACCCCGTTTTAGCTACGAGTAGCGATGATGGTGAGCTCACCCTTTGGTCGACACCGCCTGCAGAAGAAAGTTATACGCCATTGGTCTCTTTCTTCGTTGGACGGTCTTCACCGAGCTTTTGGCGAAGGAAAACGGTCAAAAGTTTTTCGTTTTCCCGTTGTTCGCCGGATCGCCGGGAGCAGGCAGAGGTTTCCTCATTCAGTGCCCCTTTGAGGTCAGCAACCGAACCCGAAGAAGAATATCCCCATCGCGAGTCGTCAGATTTCTCAGAAAAACTGGGGGAGAAAGAAAGGCAAAAAATGGGCTTTACAAACCTGCTTGAGGCCATTGCTGCAGATGAAAAGGCGAGTGGGGCATCCACTGCGATATCATTTGATGATGTTTTGCACCGTCTATTTGTGGCGGATCAAAAAGGAAGTTTGTTTATATACTCCTGTTGTCCTTTTCTACAGGGATTTGGCTTTCGGCGCTGCTCCTTTGAGAATCGAAGTAGATATGCCCTTTGGGGCATGAATGACGATTTTAGGACGTTGCACTTTCCGATTTTACTTCAAACACTTTCGCCGCATAATGGTTATATAACTTTTATGAAATGGTTTCCCGGTTTGAGTGCTGTCGTTACGTGTGGAAGTGACCACTTGGTAAAGATCCTTGATTATGACGGCAAAGAGACGGGACAGCTTCGTCTGGATCGGCTCCCACCGAGAAGCCTCTTGGATGAAACGGATGGAACTGAGATTAAAGCGTATGCGGAAAAAACACCTCAGTGTTTTACGATTCCTTTTTCTTTACCTCCCCCTTTCCCGGCCTTGAAAAGGTGCGAGGAATGCGCCCGAATTGAAGTGGAACTGAAGGATAGTCGAAATTCCTCTTTGAAAGAGTTAGCGAAAGGGTCACTGCTGCTGCCTGCTGCAAACATGTATCAATGCGGTAGTCTCGTTCCATTGGGTGAAACGGAGTTGACGTTGCCGCAGCCCAGTGCCTTTGTTGGGGTGGCATCTGAGGAGGTTAATTGCAACCGCAGCAAGGGGACGCCGTCGCCCCCTTCTGTCAGCCTCCAGTTAGTGGCACTCGAAGAAAAAAAGCAATGGCGCCCACGGCGGGAAGTGCCCTGTGTCTTTCGTGAGAGGGAATACGCTTCCGCAACGGCTAGAACAAGTTTTTCTGGGGAAACAATATCTGGCCGAGGATCGGCTCGACAAATGTGCCGCACGACACCTTTGCCGGGGATGAGTTCCACGATTGAATGGTGGAGGCCCGGGAATGTGCCGACTCCCCCTTCCTTTAAGAAGAAGAAGCACCGCGGGACCCCCACGTGCTCAAATGATAATAATAATAATAACGGTAATGGTGCTGGTAGTGGTATTGAGGGCGCACGGGATGATTTCAAAAACTTTAGTGGGGAGTTATGTTTCTCCGGCAATTCCGTGTCACCGCCGAGCCCAGTCTCCTTGAAACTATCGGAGGGCTTATCGGCGGAAGGTCCAAAACCCGTTCTGGACTCATCACAGAATAATTTGCGGGAGAGTGGGAGAAAATTTCTGAAGGGGAATCAAAAGAAGAAGTGGACATTTATAAGGACGAACCGTCCCGAGGACGAAACGAAGGCTGAAATGGCGGAACAATCCGGATCTTTTTTGGATAACGTTTTACGTACATATGAAAAGGAGCTGCGCCGTTGTGTTCGTGGCCGGAATGTGATGAAAAGGCTTTGTGATAATTCACCCACGGCAAGGATGACCATTTCACGTCCAACCGGTCATGGTGCTAGCCGATGAGAAAATATCTGAATATATTTGCGTTTATATTTTATATTCCTATTAGTGTTTATTTGTTTTTGTTCGTTTTTTTTTTTTTTTTTTTTTTTTTGTGTGGGTGTGTGTGTCATTTTTTTCCTTTCATTTTGTTTTTCTTTCTTGTTTCTGATTTTTGTTTTGTTTTTTTTTGTTTTTAGAATGCATGTGATTACTTTTGCTGGGAACAGGGGGCACGGGTAGGGAGGAGTCCCGATGTAAAAAGTTGTCACGTGTAGAAGTATATTGTATTTTGAAGGTAAATTTTCACCCAAATCTGTGGTTATCAGCTGTTTTTTTTTTTCTCTCTCTCTCTCTCTCTCTCTATATATATATGCATATATGCCTTTTGCTGTTTCTGTGCGACTTTATGGGAGAATTATTTTTCTTTTTTTTCTTTTTTTTTTTTTCTTTTGGATGACCGGGATGTTCTCTCTTCTTGACGTCATGTCTCTTTGTAAATAGTCGTCGGGTGTAGAGAAGTAGTCAGGCATTAACACCGGCAGGAGGGGAATTTTGGTGGGAAGTCAAGGAAGAAACAAAAACAAAACAAAATAAAAAAAGAAAAGAAAAAGGTGCGTGAATAAATAGAGAGTGGCGACGGGGACAAGCCGGTCAAAAAAGAAAAACTGGCAGGAAAAAAAAATGCTGTCTTCTTCTTCTTCTTCTTCTGGTACAAACATGACGCGTTTGATTGCGGGAGGAATTCTCCTGTTTATCTTTGCAGCCTATCGACAAATGAGGCGGGTACCGTCATTAAAGGAAAAGGGGGCCAGTAAGACGCAGTCTCTGAAAGACTTGTCTTCCTCGACGCCACGAGCCGCACAAGCCGTTCCAGTGGAAGTAGTTGTGGAAAAACTCCCAGATGGGTGGTCCGCCGCACCGCCCATTTATTACCCACCTTATTTGGCTGCTATACCATTTTTACATTGTAAGAGTGTCAAAGAAGGTGTATTATCAGAAAAAAACAATTTTATTGTATGCGATGGGTCTCGCCTGCATGTTGTTCAGGAGCCTAGAGGAACCGAAGAACTTGTGGCATTTTATACGCAGTATATTCAGGATATGCCTATTTTAAAATCGATAGGTACCAATGGAGCAGCGGTACGGCCTGTAAAGGAAGTAGGCTTTTCATGTGAGTCTGGATGCTTTACCCATGCCGTTGTCATTCCGGAGGAGGAAATCGTTATTGCTTTTGGTCGAAATGGGCCATACATTTTATCGTTTGTTTTTACAAAGTGTTTGACATCACCTCTGAGGGCGGAAAACGAAAAAGACACGGTAGAGAAACTGAATTCAGGTGATTTACAAATGTTACTTGATGCGTGCCGCTTGGTGCCTTTGGTAGATGGAGTGCGTCTGCCCGGCACCCCAGTGGGTTCCCAAAGGGGTTGTCTGAGGTTGAAGTATCAGTACGGGGGTCACATGCTCGTGTTTAGCCTTCCCTCCTCTGTATCCGTGCGCACGAATGAGGAAAAGAATAAAAAAGGGAATAAGGGCGCATCTGATGCTCTTTTTGTTCTCGAAGGAGATGTCTTACCGGGGAATAAGATTGTTGTTGGTAGTGCTGCTTTGGACGCAATTGTGAAGGGAACTTCCATCGATGCGCTATTCCCGCTTTCCGCGCCCGGGTGCCCACCTCTGTCATCGCTTCTCTCTCTGGATGCGGTAGAAGAGTCCGCTTCCCCTATCGCTGATGGAGCCACGGATCATGCGACTCGGCCACGCGAAGAGGATGCAATGAACGTTGTATTTTCTCATGAATATCTCGGTGTCAGCTTTTCCGTCAACCCAAAAAACGGTTTTGTTTATGAGCCAATCCTTACGGAAGATCTTCTTTTGCTGTACTACCCGTTGGGTGATGAGGCCCACTACGCTCCGCCATCAGGGCAAATGAGGAACGTCGCACCCCCGCGATTCTCCGTTCGACGCGTGACACAACTTTCGCCGCTATGGGAGAAGTTTGTTTCTACAGAGGATGAGTTGAAGCACAATGTTCTTTTTCACTTTACGGATTGGACCAAGGAACAAGTTCCGTGTTCACTGTGCGACATTAGCGGATTTAAGGGTATCCAGTTGTTTGAATCTAAGGAAGGGCACAGCTGCCGCTCATACGTGATACCGCGTGCGGACTCCATTTTGGTGGTTCGCTGGGAAACAGAAACCAAGGATTGGGATATGCATTTGCCGCTTCTGCAGAAATTTCTTGACACTCTGCATTTAGCCGATCCTTTGGCGTAATTGAATGGTGCGGAATGAGAAGAGGCAACAAAATAAAAATAAAAATCAACGAAGGGATACGAAGAATGTATTTAAAAAGTTCAAAGGGAAAATTGAATGACAAGTTTTCCAGGAAAAAGAAAAGCATATTTACACGCATTACCTTAATTTATGTGTAAGGGTGTGTATATATCCTTTTGGGGGCGAACGGCTTTTCGGTATAGAAGGAAATCAAAGGAATGGGTCTTTATTATTATTATTATTATTATTATTATTACTGTTTGTTTGTTGCCGTTCTTATTTTTGGTGTTGCCGATTTTATTTTTGCGCGTGACCGGAAGTTGGTTGGCTGGTAATTTATTGTGGGGTGTCCAGAGTGTGTGGATGCCTCATTTCTTTTTTTCTTTGTGTGTGTGCGTGTGTGTGTTGGACATTAGTTTGACCTGTCCGAAGATTTATCGCAGAATTTTTATTTGAAACGGATTCACGTTATAAGTTTTTAACTGCCCTTTTGTTTGCGCAATGTCTTTTTTGTTTGTTTTTTTGTTTTTGATTTATTTATTTATTTTTTTTTTTTTTTTTTTTTTTTTTTTTGTGTGTGTGAGCGTTGAACTCCGCTGCTGCTCTTCGGGAGGATAAAAAAGAGGGTTTTGGGAGGAAATACGGTGGAAACTTTTTTTGTCCATATTTTTTTGTTTTTTGTTTGTTTTGTTTCTCTCTCTTTGTGTGTGTGTGTGTGTGTGCTGACAGCACGTCTTGTAAAATGTTTAGAACTTACAATGGTATCCGCTTCTTCCGTGTCTTTTTGACGCTGTGGATCACTTACGCCGCCTACACCATGGTTCGTCGACCTCTGACTGTGGCACGTGCCGATATTCAACGGGAGACGGGGTTTACTTCGGCAGAAACATCGCTTGTAGATACGATGTTTGTTTTTTCATATGCACTTGGGCAGTTTTTTTATGGACGCCTAAAGGGTCGTTGTGGGAATAAAGAAATGTTATTGCGTGGCATTCTCTTGTCTAGCGCGGCGTTAGCAATTCTGGGACTATCATCCAGGCTTCCGGCCTTTTGTGTGGCGTGGGCCATAAACGGTATTGCACAGGCAGCTGGATGGGCCACATGTCTTTCAATAATGAATGTCTGGGTTTTTCCCAAAGAGCGTGGCCGAGTGATGGGGTGGTGGTCAACAAACATGGCGGCAGGAGGCGTGATTGGAAATGTCTTTGCGGCCTTTCTGATTGGAAGGGGATTCTCGTGGCGTACTGCTGTTGAGGCTGAAGTGGGGCTTCTTTTGGCAGTCGGTGGCGTGGTGTTGTTGGCACTTGTTGAGCACCCAAATGCGGCTGGTTTCCCCTCGGTGCAGCAGGTTGAAGGAGGTGTGGAATTTGCCAAGTTGTCGTGTGATTGCAATTCGGCCCCTCTGAGCAAAGACGGCGAAATGTATATGAATTCACCAAGATCAACGAGCTCTTCGCTTGAGCAAGGCATGAATCCTCGGCACAAAGACTATGATGACCATGAGGAACTCTTCTCCCTCACATTTTTGAATATTATTCAGCTCCCTGGTTTGTGTGGTATCTGTGCATCGTACTTTCTGTATCAACTTGTGCGTTACGGATTTATGTTTTGGCTCCCATATTTTGCCGTACATGAATTAAATTATACCACCGAGTTTGCGGGGTATGTGACGTGTGCCTTTGATGTTGGTGGGGTTGTAGGCATTGTGGCATCTGGGTACTTTTCTGACTGGATGTTCCATGGTTTTGGCCGAACGCGTGTCATTTTGCTCCTCACTGTAGGTATGGTGCTTGGGAGCTGTTGTCTTGCTGTCTTTTCTCGACATTTTGTGGAAAACGCTCTTTTTTTCATGGTGGCGGTCACCTTTGTTGGTTTTTTTGCCTTTGCTATTGATTCTTTGGTGTCGGGTTCTTTTTTGTTGGACCACCTGGAGCACATTAAGATGGTAAAGCAGGCAGGGGCAATTAGTGGTGTGGTGGGCGGTTTCGGATCGGCGGGGTCTACCTTTCAGGGAGTCTTCACCGCCGTGCTGATCTCAAGATCATGGCCAACACTGTTTTACGGCTTTGGCGTGGCAGGTGCATTGGCAGGCGTCTCTCTTATTCATCCGCTCCGCAGTGAGCTGCTACGAGCGCGGAAAAGGTCCGTAGTGTTTTGATGTTTATTTTCCAAAGCGCACGGAAAAGTGGGCAAGTCATGTTTTTTCTTTTCATTTTCAATTTGAATTGAATACCTAGGCCCGAAAAGAATAGTTTTTATATAAATAGTTATGGGTATGTGTTCCTTTTTGTGAATACCAATTCAATTCTTTTTTTTAATTTTCTTTATTTTTGTATTATTATTATTATTTTTTTTTTTTTTTTTTCCTGTATACCGTCTCAGAAAATGCCTGTATATAAATATGTACTTGAGAAAGACATTTCTTTTTTCCTCAATTACCTTTTGTTGTTGTTGTTGTTGTTTTCCCCTTCCTCTTACGTACCATTTCCAATGAACAAGTGATAATAATAATAGTCACAAACGCAGCCTGTAGGCATTCAATAGGAAAGTGAAGAGTAAGTCTCTGTTATATGAGTTTTCCTCAGACAGAAAAGAACGGCATCACCAGTGAAAGTCCAGCTCGTGAATTCAACACAAATGAACACGGCGATTTGCTGAACTCCGCTGGGGAGCCATGGAGAGGAGGTCGATTCCAGGAAAGAGGACGGGGGAGGGGGCGCGGAAGGGGGCGCGGACGGTATGAAGGCGATGGCGAGTGGCGTCGCTCTGACAACGATCGCGAAAGAGGGAACGAGCGCTTTTCGTGGCGTCGTGGCAGCGGTGACGCTGGTGGTGGCGGTGAGTACGAGGGTGAAGAGGGATATGGCGGTGGTTGGCCACGTGGCGGTCGCAGCGGGTACAATAACAATTATAATCGTCGCGGTGGTGGCGGCCGCGGTTCTCGTCAATACGGCCCCGGTGCACGGAAGGAGCAATGGTCAAACTGGCGACAGGGTGATCCCAAACGTGACGCTGGCGACGAGTATTCGGAACCGCGTCGCGGTGGTGGTGATAACTACGATGTGGAAGGGGGACGCGGAGGGCGTGGCCGTGGCCGTGGCGGTCGTTTTGCTGACGACGATCGCGAGCTCGAGGGGAGGGCCCAGAGAAGGTCGCAGGGAGCAACCGACGACACCGACCAGCAGGAACCCGTCCAACAGTCAGAGGGGCAGCAGCAGCAGCAGCAGCCACCAGCGCAATATGGGCGGTTTGATGTTGATTCGTACGAGCGACCACGTGGTCGGGGACGAGATCGTCCCTACCGCGGCAGAGGCGGTTACTTCAGGGAAGTGGAGGAAGAGAGACAGCAGCAACCGCAACCGCAATCGCAACCGCAACTGCAACCGCAGCCACAGGAACAAGAGCAGCGGCCACGCGTCTCGGAGGATCCAATCTCGACTAACCCTAGTCGCACACAGCGTGCCCCACATTTGCGTAAGAATTGCCACGACGAAAGGGAAATAGAACAACTTTTTGAGCACCATCATCAACAAAAAGGTATTTCCCTGGATAACTATGCCAATATTCCGGTTGATATTATTCCCAATAATGTTGAACCTGTGGAAAGCTTTGAGGATCTTTACGTGGAGCCCGCACTTGCCTTGAACGTTGCCAAGTGCGGGTACAAACAACCAACACCGGTGCAGCGTTATGGCATTCCGGTCTGTCTCAACGGTGATGATTTAATGGCGTGTGCCCAGACGGGCTCTGGAAAGACGGCAGCCTTTTTGGTTCCTGTTGTTCACTACATCTTAAAACACGGCGTATCACCCGCTCGTGAACGCGTTAGTTATCCAATTGCCGTCATTATGGCTCCAACACGTGAATTGGCGTTACAAATTTACGATGAGGTTCGCAAATTGACGTTCCGCACGGATATCTTCTATGATGTTGTCTACGGAGGAACACCGTATCCAACGCGGTTTGAAAACGACATTCTTGTTGCATGTCCCGGACGCCTAAAGGATATTTTTGACCGCGGTATTGTCTCCTTCAGCCGGGTAAAGTTTCTCGTCCTTGATGAGGCCGACCGCATGTTGGAGATGGGGTTTGAGGAGCAGATTGAATACCTTGTCGCCTCGCGGTACACGGATATGCCGCAGACCACGGAACGACAAACGCTTATGTTCAGCGCCACCTTTCCTCAGCGGATTTTGAACCTCGCGAAACGTTATCTTCGTCAGCATTACTACCTCCTCACGGTTGGCCGCGTTGGATCGACAACGAAGAATATCACGCAGAAGATTGTGCGTGTGCAGGAGTCTGAAAAGATGGACAAACTGTTTGAGGTTATTTACCAGCAGAAACAGACGGATCTTGTGCTAATTTTTGTGGAAACCAAGCGTGCTGCAGAGGAACTTCACTATGCCCTTAAGAGTGAGGGCATTCCGAGCGCCACCATCCATGGGGACCGCAGACAATTTGACCGTGAACGTGCGTTGCGTGATTTCAAGGATGGCATCACGCCGATTTTGGTCGCTACAGATGTTGCCTCGCGTGGTCTGGACGTCCCTAATGTGGCACACGTCATTCAATACGATCTTCCAAAGGAGATGGACGATTATACACACCGCATTGGACGTACTGGACGTGCTGGAAACAAGGGCACAGCCACCTCCTTTTACAATAAGAACAACCGAAACCTTACCGTGGACCTGTACAACTACCTGAAGGAGCACGAGCAGGATATCCCCCTATGGTTTGAGGAGGAGAAGGAAAACGTCGAGGGAGAACGGTTTCTAGGCATGAGCCGCGGTCGCGGTGGCGGTGGTATTGGTGGAAGGCGTGGTGGTGGCGGTGGCGACAATTACCGCGCGGCTCCGACGCTCTCCAACTCCACATGGGGCGAGTCTGCACCATCGCGCGGCCGTGCAAGGGGTGTCGGTCGGCCTCAGAACAACTCTAACGTGGACGATGGGGGGTTTTGAGCGCCAAAGAGACACACACACGTAAGAAATGAGAGCGAAAGAGAAAAGGAAAGAGAGAAAAAGAAAGAGATGAGGCAAAATGGGGGACGGCGAATATTTGGCTCCTGAAAGCATCATTAATTTATTAGATAAAAAGTAATTATACATGAAATTATGTCTCCTTTTTCCTTTTTTCTTTTTTTTCCCCCCTTATTCACTACCTCTGTGTGTGTGTGTGTGTGTTACGTTCTACGAAAATTGCAACGGAACAGGCAAACAGAAGTAGTAAAAATAAATGATGGCCTAGAAGGGACATGAACGGGAAAACTGCATATCCAATATATATATATATCTTTAAGAAGAAAAGGAAGTGAAAAAAAAAAGATAAGCGAGAGAAAATGAAAAAAAAAAAAAAAAGAAAGAAAGAAAGAAAGAAAAGGAAAAGAAATTATAAAAAGTAAATTTAAAAAAAAAAGGAAATAATTCGCATCATACAAGCATATCAAGATATGTATATACGTATGTATATATATATATGTGTATATGCGGTGGTGGTGACCTCTGCAATGGTTTTTTTCTTTGCTTTTTTGTGGTTCTGGTGTGCTGAATAATGGAAGTAGAAGAGCGCGAGGTGGGACGAGGAGGAGAAGAGGGAAAATAAAAATTTTCTTTTTTTTTTTTTTTGCTTGTATGTGTGTGTGTGTGTGTGTCTGTGCGAGTTTTGCCTGTTTGTTTCTTTTATTCGGTCCCCGCCGCTGCGCCATACGCACACACACACACACATGAAGGCAGTGAGAGTAACGCCAGATGTGTGCAGGAGCCTGCTAGAGACGCCATTGACGGGTTTCGGCCGGAACCAACCAGCAGCAGCGGCAGCAAAAATAAAATTGCGAGGGGAACACGTCCCCCACACCACGCCACCCTGTTGGTTCATGCGTTCTCAGTGGGGAGGAGAAGTGGATGCACGCAAAAGAGAGAAAAGGAAGAGGGAGGACAGAGTCAACAGCATTGCGGTGGCGTCCAAACACTCTCTCTTTCCCTTTCTTGCTTTGCCCGGTTTGCCCCTCTTTCCCTTACGACCATTCCCTGCAGGTGTGAGAGTGTTAACGCTGGGCGGACACTGAGATTAAACTTCTTAAAGCAAAAAAGAGCAGTGAGGCATTAATCGTGTATTCTCTCTCTTTGTTCATTCCTCCTTCGATTGACAACGTGAATGGGGGAGTTGTGCGGTGGGGGGGGAAAGAAAAGGGAGGTACTGTGCACATTAGAGAGCTGCGGTTTTACACAGCGGATGTAACGATTTCTTCGGAATAAGAGCGAATGGATACAGAAGGAGAGGAATGCGGGAAAAGGAAAAAAGGGAAAAAATAAAAATAAAAACAGCTGTCTTTTTAGAGATTTAGCGGAAATAAGCACAGCCACCAGGGCAAACAGCAACCACCATTACAAAGTAATCTCTAATGAGAAACAAAAGCACATGCATACGCAATAAAACCAAGCGAAAAGAAACCAAAGAGAGGAAAGAATATTTATATTTATATTTATTTATTTATTTATTTAAAAATGATCAAGGAGTCTGAGGCATTTGGTGTGAGAGACCTGTTTGGGATATAAGGAGGAGCGAAGGCGAGGTTATCTGCGTGGGCATGCATTTGTTTGACTTGTTATTGTTGCTGTTGTTTTTGTTTTTTTTCTCAACCATGCCTGATGTATACTCCTATTATTATTATTATTTTTTTTTTTTTTTTTTCAGGGGAAATGTACTGTCGCGTTATGATTCTGCGCATGGCGGCATCGTCATCGTCTTCTACTGATGCGAGCAGTAAATATACCCGGTCCAAGTCACCGTACGAAGTGCTCGGCATGACGGCAAGCGTGTCATTCGATGAGATCAAGGCTCGTTATCATGAGCTCACGCGCTACTACCATCCGGACATGCCGCACGGAGACCCGGCGAGGTTTCGCGAGATCAACGCCGCCTACCGCGTGTTGCGCGCCGCGGAGCGAGAAAAAAGTCGGAAAAGATTGACCCTGGGTCGTTCCGGGCGGAGCGCAGTCACAAGAATGGCGACTATCAGACTGATGGCCATGCACGATATCAGGATAGCCGGTACGGTCCCGCTGAGAGGCCACAGCGTCACGGTTTGCTGCGGGAGATACTTTGGCTGTACGAATGCTACGAGTTGGCAATTGTGATTGGCGCGGCAGTGGCCGTCCTTATCATTGCAACGGAAAGATACCTGCTTGTGCGGCGCATGACACTTGAGAAGCGTGCGCGGATACGGGCCATGGACGAGGGACTGCCACCAAGTATGCCGCTGGTTTTGGAAGACGGAATGCTTCAGAAGTACAACGTGCGGGTGCCGAAGGAGGAAATTGAAATTGACAACGCCATGGTGAAGGAGGAGGCGTATCACCGGCGTGCCACCCAGCGTCGCTTCGAAGAATTCCGTGAGTTTCTTTTTGTGTATGACCCTGATGGGGTGACCTCTCGCAGGGTCACAACCAAGCGCTTCAGCATTCAGTACATTGACGAGGCCCTCGTCCCAGCTCGATGCACGCACGTCTGGGAGTTCAACTCGGAGATGAAAAATAAGCAGTATGACAGCATCGTGAACGGGGTTGTAGAGGCCCTTGCCGCGACCTCTTGGGCAACACCCGACGTCCAACACATCGCTCCTCTTATGGCGAAGGGGCTTGCAACGATTCCCATGAATTCCCCTGAAACGGCCAAATGGACTTTTGTCGAGTACAAAGACATCGACAAAAAAGGAGAGCCCGCTTGTGTGTTTGCACTCAAGAACAATCGCTTTGGACGCCTTGGCATGTGTCAACGTGTGACCGTCACAGGAAGTAACAGTCTCAGCCCACGGTTGGTTAAAAAGCAGGAGGCGGATCTGAAAAGTGGAGCACTTAGTGCAAAAAGCCTAGTGCGCGGAGGACCGTTGCCTGTGAAGGATCTGTCAATCCCACTTGAACAAATGAAATTATAGATCTGTTTGATGTGCATCCCAACTCGATATTTTTGTACCCGAACATTCACAAATGCCCTTTTATTTTTGGAATGCCTTGTTGCAGTCACTGTGTGCCACATCAGCATAGCGGACTTCAGTGGAGGAATGACGGAAGAAATTAATAGAGCCAAAGAAGAAGGAAAAATGAACACGGTCGAACGATTGCAATGTGTGTTCTGCCATTTTTATTGAGATCCTTCTCATGGGTTGAATTATGTAAAAGAAAGGGTGGGGAGACATGTAGTGAAGCGAGAAGAAGCGGCGTATACAGAGGAGTCGTCTTACGCTTCTTTTTTTACCCCACAATTGTCTTACTTCAGTTTCCCCCCGCCCTTGTTGTTGTTTTTGTTTCGTTCAAAAGCTTGGCAGGGAAATGTGCGAGCCGATGGAGCTCAGTGAAGGATAGAGTCTCCTGTTTGCCCAGCACGTTTACTTAATAATTCATATTTGTTTTTAACGCAGCATCGTTAGAAAGTGGTGAGTATACTTCATGTTGTTGTTGTTGTTTTGCCCGTCCTTTACTACTCTCCACAACGCGGCGGGGTCCGGCGGTTGAAAGGCTCTTAAAAAATGGCAGCCTTTTAGTTCACGGCGAGGTCATTTACCATTTGTACGTGCGTTGATTTTCTGTGTTTTTACGGGTGTACGGTTGTTGGACCAACCGCCTCCTCCGGAACGAAGGGATTTCATGTGCACCGAACCGAACTGGAATTTTTCATTATATCTTTTTTTCATTTTTTCTCTTGCTCTGGGGAATATATGGCAAGGCATCATTTAGTCGAAAAATTGTTTTTGCACCCTTCAACTGGTCTGTTGCTGCATGACGGAAATCGCATGCAGACGCACAGCGCCGGTGAGTATGAGGTCGAAGTGTACCCCGCGTGCCCACCAATGGCGTATCGGGGAATGGAACCGACCGAGAGCACGTGGTGATGGGGAATATGGTGAGCACTCGTGATGATACTGACCCTGCTCCGCTGCTGATGCTGTGACCGTGATACGAGACTCTTCAGGGCTTCTGAAGTGCACTTTTGCTGTGCTTCCTCTTCTTCCTCAACGCAGAGCTTCCCTCGCACACGCCAGGCCCTCCAGCTACCACGTGAAGCGTATACTCTCAGTCTTTGCGGAGGTCGTTCTACTGGGCCAAGAGGCGCGATTCTGTCGCGACAGCGGTGCCGTGGGAAGGACGAAAACAACAGCAACGACAACAACTTGGAAAAACGTGATGATCCATGCTAGCACCAAATCGACACTGAGTCGGAAAGCACCTTATGACGCATTTGTGACAGACCATGGACAGGCCGGGCAAAAGTTCACCGGGCACTGATTACACACACACTCTCTCTCTCTTTGCCTTTACTCTCTATTCACTGTGCCGTGACACTATGATTCAATCCATGATGCGTCAGGACACACAGCGTGCGTGACTGCTGGATTTACACGCAATGCCGTAAGCAGTATGACACCACACCCTTCTCTCCTCTCCCCAATCCCCTTTCCCCCTTCTCCTTCGATGCATGACGGAAATCGCATGCAGACGCACAGCGCCGGTGAGTATGAGGTCGAAGTGTACCCCGCGTGCCCACCAATGGCGTATCGGGGAATGGAACCGACCGAGAGCACGTGGTGATGGGGAATATGGTGAGCACTCGTGATGATACTGACCCTGCTCCGCTGCTGATGCTGTGACCGTGATACGAGACTCTTCAGGGCTTCTGACGTGCACTTTTGCTGTGTTTCCTCTTCTTTCTTCTTGTGTGTGTCTTATATGTTAAGCCCCATTCGCTTCCTTTCAATGGTTTTTTGTTACCTGGGAGGCTAGTATTATGAGGCGAGAATCGTTTTTTTTTTTTTTTCTTTTTTTTTTTTTTTTTTGTGTGTGTGTGATTGTATAAAACGGTGATGGCACTTTTATTATTATTAGTGTTTTGCCGGATTTATTGTTGTAGTTGTTGTTCTTATAGTTTTGTTTATCTTGAATATTTTTTTTTTTTTTTTTGAGGGAAG